TCGATACCTATGCAAATTTTCAGCCGTGCCGATCGACAGTTTTTTTTGTTGAAAAATTTACACGTTTGATCGCCCGCCCACCCACATAGCTTCCAGTCCGCCTTCTGACGGTCGGGCTTTCGCTTTGCCGGCAGCAATCGAACCTTTTCCAGGTAAGATATTTCATGGACCGAGGCATGTTTATTTTTCCGTTGCCAGCTCTCCGGCTATTTGGAGTGTATACGTGGGTCTATCACGTTTGACGCTATCTTTCTCTACCCTAAATAATTTTTAAAAATTTGAAAAAATTTATGAAACATTTGTCTACATTGTATTTGACGATTATATAATCATTTTAATGAACATCATTTATTTATTATTTAATATTTTTTGGAAGGTTTGCAAGTTCTATTGTTATGAGCAGATATCATTTTGGCTAGGATGCCGTATATAAATGGAGGGTTAATAAATAACTTTTGGAATCAATTAATTTCTTTGTCTATTTAGAATACCGATTTACATTTGACGATAGATACCTGAATGTCCTTATGCTCAGCTAATAGTGCCAAAATGAAGCACAAACCCATTGCTGTAGTATCATGACCCTATAATCGTATATATCAATGTATCATGTATCGATAAACCAAATAATGAATAAGAAAGGTTATACAAAAGAAATATACCTCAAACATAAAAGTATCAACTTCCTCCCTAATATCTGAATCAGTCATAAGGCCATCACGAGATGCTGCTATTAGAAGATCCAACATTGCAAGTCGTTTTCTTCGTACTAAATCGAAATATGTAAACACATGTCTGTATCAAATTAACAGCAAAATTCTTCTGTGACTTTTTTATTAACTTGATTACTTAAGAATTTAAACTATAAGTATAATATTCATTTGTAAAATATAATTTATGATATTAAACACCAACCAGATTTAAAAAATAGCTATCGATTACATTACGTACTTCCTACCGGTTCTGCGTCATCTCTGTTTGCCGACGTGTCATTATAAAAGCTTTTCAAGTATTGACCATTAGTGCGATCATGATAAAGTTTTCTTTCAGCAATTATCTATGTAAATACAACATTAATGATACAACATTAAATACATAAGTAATGTGTTGTTAGTATCTATAAATTATAATTTTTTTATTGTTGTAATATTTCTAAATAGGTAATGTCTAAATATATCTAATATTAAAAAGCATTTTTGCGTACTCGTTTAGTAAATTTATGTAATATCTTCAGCATCTTCTTTTGCTCTCGACCTTTAGACGTCAACGAGAATATCCAATCGATGTGCAGCCATTGCCTCATTATTCTAAATAATTAATAAATGTCAGGCATGTTTTAAAAAAAATATTAATGCATGTAAATTTAGAAAACATTTTGCTTCCTCATATAGAGGAAGCTTTGTTTTTATATACTCTTACAATTAGTATTATTTTAATAACTATATAAAAATAGCCCAGTCAGAAATGTAACCTTGATTCAAGGTTAATTCAACGTCGATATGGTTGACAGCTGGTTGAGTCGATAAGAAAGTCGATATTCCTGCAATATCGATCATGTCCAGTGTCGATTCAAGGTTGATTCAACGTCAAAGCGATTAATAGCGCTGTTTTGAGTGCGCACTTATAAAATTCGATCAATTTAGATTTTAATCCTAAAAAATATTACATTGTTTATGTAAATTGTACAAAATAATTTTATGGACGTTTAAGAAATGGCGTAATTGCGCGATCAATCACATATGTATAAATAATATATATAAATTTTATATTTAGGACCTATCCAGACAAACACTGCATATATAAAAAAATACCCTTACAAAAAAGTATTACTAGCTGGTTAGTAATAAATACTTATTTTGTGTATTAATAATACTAAAATTAAGTATTTATTAGTACTTGAATCACTGTGATCCAAATATTGCATAGTATTTTATTACTGGTCAGTAATTTATGAAAGTAGTATTTAATACAGGACGAGTATTGAATACTTAGTATTAAATTTCTAATGAGAAAGCATTTAATACTAGGTGAAAAATACTTGTGTAATAAATACTTGTTGAATTACTGATGAGTATTTCAATGTTAGTACTGAAGTACTGAACCAAGGATTCCATGTGTAATAAATCACTGGCCAGTATTTTAATATTAATACTCAAGTACTGAACTAAATATTCCATGTGAAATTAATCACTGACCAGTACTACAATTTGTATAGAAACATTATAATGGGTAATTCCTGATATTAAGAAAAAGAGATAAAAGTAAGGCACAAATACATTTTATATGAAGGTCTGTACTAATTCGTCGTGATAAAAGTGTACAAGTTTTGAAATAGTACTGAGGATATCATTTTAATATTCAATTCAAAATTTTATTACTTTTTTTAAACTGAATTTGTTTCTTAAGATGATTTTTGAAAAATTATATATTTGCGCTGGTTATGACACATGTAGACTATATATAACACTTACATCAAATTAAGAAGTAGTCTACCACGTAAGGCAGTTGGCTCACGATCCAGAGGTCCCGAGTTCGATCCCACCAAGGTAAGTGTTTTTTAAATACGAGAAAATATTTATAATTATAAACTGCATCTTAAGAAACAAATTTAGTTATAAAATAGTAATAAAATTT